TGGGTCTCAAGCAATCATCAGAAATTGGAGACCCCCTCAGAAATTTGTTGGACTATTCAAAATATTTCCCGTTGTGCAGGGGTCTCATTAAAGCCATTTTGAAAGGCCTGTGGTTTAAGCAGCTGTGTAGCAGTACGCAGATGTTGTTATGGAAGGATCAGCAGATGTCCATCTCAATCGCATCTAGTGCACCTAAAATCTGAATAGATAAATCATCCACTGACTCTCAAAGCAACAGGATAGATGAGTCATTTTGCCATGCTTGTAGGGGTCCACCTCAAGTCTGAATTCGCCTTTGAATAGCCTTGGGTTAAAATTAGTCACGCTTATTCCACAGCTGATTGGAACCCAGATCTCTGAGGCTTATTTGTCGACCCACCCAGATTTCCACTGCTCTGGTACTTTCTGACAATGCAGCTCCCATCCTGTGAGGAGGCTGCAGTATTGGGTGGTGGTTATTGGAAACTGACCAGCACAATAGACTTAGAAGGAAAAAAACAAAAATTGAGCACACAGCAAAACAGCATATAGACCAGCACTCTTTAAAGGCCTGATCCAAAGCACATTGAAATCAATTAAAAGACTCCTGTGGAACCAGGATCAGGTGGGTTTAGTGCTGTTACTGGTTAAGACTTCCTAGGACTTGTTCAGAGAGAGGAGGCAGGAAACCCAGAAGAAAATGTGTCTGAAACCAGGTTGGAAGGCTTCTTTGCTTGACTGTCTCGCTGCCGTGTCTGCTTGGTGCAGGGAGCTCTTTTCCATTCAGCATGAATGATGGGGGCCGTACCTTTCTCTAAAGGCAGCATCTAGAACAGTGACTGCAAAAAAGCTGGGACCTGATCTAAAGCCCATTGAAGTCACTGGGCGTCTTCCCATTGCCTTTGGAGCAGGTTTTCCAATGCAGAGAACTCATCTTCGGTCCACCTAGTAAACTGCCACTAGTTTGCCTAAAGGAGCTTTTCTGAGTCTTGGGTGCTTTGTGGGCCACTCATGGAAAGCAAAGTCAGGGGCTGCCCCTAGCTCTCCGCATCATGGTTGCTACAGAACTTTACAGGGTCCCTGAACTAGATTTCTGGCCTTGTCTCTCAGCCTGCTGCTGTTGACTGATGTTAAACCACAACACGGTGCCTTGACTAAGGAGAACGAGTTGGTGACTGGGGCCTCGCTCTTTCCGTGTGAGTGGGCCGCCATTGACTTCATTGGGGTTCTACACAGGCACAAGGGTGGACCTGGGCAGATCCAATTGCAGGAGCAGTGCCCAAGCTTGTTAAGAACCTTTTAGTTTCCAATCCAGCTGTGCTGCACACATGTCCTTATTGGCTTTGGCATTCATGTGCGTCTACAGGTTTAAAGACCGTTGCATTCCTCGGTGAGGAGAGGGCCAAATACTGAGACATTTTGTGGAAATGTAAAAGAGGGTGGGGCGGTCATTTTAAACCGATTATAATTTGAACGACTTGTTCTGTCATGGAAATGTTGACCCCAAATCCCTCTTACATTAATCACAGTAACATTCAAAAAGAAATTTATTGCATCTGTGTATTTGCATTAGCAGTAGCATATAAGAGCCCCATTGCGCTAGGTGCTGTACAACTACAGAACAAAAAGACAGTCGGTGCCCTGGAGACCTAAGTTTAAGACGAGACGAGTGGTGGATATGACATGCAGGCAGGGGAGCGTGATGTGAGAATGAGGCAATATTGGTCAGAATGATAGGCTGTGGTCGCCGCACAGCAGTTGCCTTCCTGCGAAAAGCGAGAGGGCTGTATGAAAATATAGCAGAGGAGGGAAGGGTAGTTGCAGCTGAACCGTTGCCTCCGTAATGTACATGTGTAGTAGGACATATCAATACAACAGCCACTCCCACTCGTCCCGGGAATAATTACGCACGCATGCAGCTTTACATTGCAATGGAGCTTGATATAATCGTAGCTCGACAGTAACAGTCTGTCCTGTTTGTATGAAGGTGCCTTCTCCTGTTAAATCTACAAACAGATCACACACCCAGTGTGCTTCACTTAAAACCCCAATGATCCCCCAGGGTGGCTGGACAGAGTGATAATCTGAAAGGAATGTAGGCGTCTAATCGAAATGGAGAACAAATACTTTGTGAAGTGCCTGCTCCAATCCCTCGTGTGCTCTTACAGGCGCCTTGTCCTCCCATCTACATGCAGTCTCCGAGCCTTTCATCACTCCCTCCCTTCTTAGCAAGGCCTGGCCCTCCTCTCCGGTCACACTTCTCATGCAGGTCACACACATTCTGATACGCAGACTAACACCCTCAACAATAAATCTAAAAGATTAATTAAAAACAAACCAACCCAGCCCCGCCAGCAGCACTGGGAATACATCTCGAATGCTCTCTAGATGGCTTATTCATGGCAAAAATAAATAACCTCTTCAATCGGGCAATTGAGAATGCAAATATCCCATGCTAATTCAAAAGAGAAATTGGGCTCTGGACTGGAGAGCTGATTAACATACAATCACGCAGGCTACTGCGCTCTCGGTCTCATACAGAATTTCAGCAGACCAATTGGCTACAACACCCTAGGACAGTATTTAGAGGCTTTCGCGCTAAACAGATTATTTTAATGTTCCTTGCTTTATTGTGAATTGCCACGGTCTAGTCCCAAGATACGTTTTATTGTTCTCTGTCCATGCTAATGGCGACCACAGTTACTCCGATGAGATCGCTCAGGTCTTTGTTTCCCATCAGCGACCAGATGGGTTTTTAAATTCACACTCCCTACTGCTGACCAAACAAAGATTTTCCTTTTTTCTTTTGTAAGCCGGGAGGATGGGAACAGCACATTGAAGTAGCTGCTTCTTCTGTCTGTCATGCATGTGGAGGGGTGGAATTGACCTTTTGCTGGGAATAAAACTGTTCTACTTTCATATCTTTTTAACAAAAACTGCGTGTTTTCCGGTGAGAAACAGGAATTCTGTCCTGATCCTTCTTAGTCCCTATATCAGCATAATATGTGAAATGCACTGTTCAAGCCTTACAGATTCACTCATAATAAAGAATTGAAGCCTGGGACCTGCATGAATAAAAAAAACATAATAGTTCCAAATAATCCTCCCATATTGTTATCCGTCAATGAACCTTAAACCTCCTTGACTGTTGGCAAAGAGGGGAGCTAAAGTAGGGGAAATAAATCTAATGCTTTCCCATCGTATGATGCCCACCAGATATAACCTGTTACATGTCATAACTCCAATGTTCATTCACATTTGGGAGCTTATTATTTTTATTGATTTTAGTATTAAAAAAGTCTCCAATCGTTTGGGTGCATGTTCAGTAGAAACACTTAGGCTATGAGCTTCAAAGCCATCTGAAGGATTTGGGCACCCAGTTCCTGGCCATTCAAACCCTCCAGGTGACTTGGAAAATCACAGCTTAAAGGCCCTTATGGCATGTCTGGATTAAAGCATAAGCACTATAGGCCCATACCTGGGATCCCAGCTGTTGGAGTTACATGAGATGAGAATCTTAGCGTTCGTTACAAGTGTTTCCAGCCCTCTTGGATGCAAAGAAAAACTTGAAAATGTGATCTGAGTGTCGCTAATGTCTGTCTGAGTCTGCAGGTAGCATGAAACAGTAGCTCCAAGAGACGTGCTCCATTTGGCTTCTCTCTGAAATGTGCTAGCACCCTAAGGAGGGGGCAGGGCTGCAGGCTGGGAGCAGGTCTATGGGGGTACCATGTGAGCTGCGTGTAGGCCTCTGTTTTGCTTTAACCCAGCCCTGCCTGCTCCTGCAATCTGAGGTGTGTGGGCCGTACCCTGCACCCATGTGGAGCACTGTTGACTTCACTGGGACTCCATGAAGGTATACATAAGGGTCTCCCTGTACAGAGCAGATTGTATAATCAGGACCGTAGCTTTTACCAGCTGAGACCCTGATCCTACAATTTACATATGTGGACCCCTGAACATTGAGGTCAATGGGGCATTAATCATTACCTCTTCTGTGCCCATTTATCCATCCGAAGTAACTTGGATCATCCCCATAACTCAGACTCCTTTCTGGCAGGGATCGGCTAAGAGTTCAGCACCCAAACTGATCTTTTTAAAAAAATTACACAACCAGATAGAAATAAAAATGTTGACGATTTAAAAAAATATATTTCAGCAGAGTTTCTATCTTGTTTAAATCCAAACCATTCCCTTGCAAGCTCTGCAACCAAGTCCTAGCAGCACTGTGCTACTGTATACACCTCTACCCTGATATAACGTGACCCGATATAACACGAATTTGGATATAACGCGGTAAAGCAGTGCTCCGGGGGGGCGGGGCTGCGCGCTCCGGCGGATCAAAGCAAGTTCGATATAACGCGGTAAGATTTTTTGGCTCCCGAGGACAGCGTTATATCTGGGTAGAGGTGTACTTGAAACTAGCCTAGGGGGACAAGCGGAGCCTGCCCAAGCTGAGTGCCAGGTAAAAATCAAATAGGCAGCTGAGGTTGTGAAAAGCGAATGATTTTGATAGTCTAAGGTGCTGGTAATGACACCACTAAGGACATTTTTAACCTGACGACTTAGTTTTGTCTTCTGGATGTCTTTTAAACGGAAGAGCAATCCAAACATTTTCTTTGTGGATTTGTTTCAGTTTAGTCGCACAATAATAAAGGCCCATCACATTTCCCCAAACTTCTGTAGTAATGGCATAATCTAGCCCGCATGCCTCACAGATTTAGAGACAAATGGAAATTTCCATAAAGCTCTTCCATGCACAACCCCACGACCCTGTCTCCAAAAACATCAATTCACTGCCTTCTCTAACACCAAAGGAAAAAGAGTCTATTAAAAGCAACATTGATTACTCCACCAAAGCTTGCCCGATTAATTATTCTTAATAGCGAATAAACCTTGGATGCCATCAGTAACCTGACAATATTTTGTGTTGGGTTTAGCGCTAACGAGTTTATAATCTGGACTCCGTTACCTTTCCATTTGACTCACCCTGATATAAAGCTTGGTGTTTCTTTTTCCTCCAGAGTGCCATGACTGGCGGGGACTAGACTGCAGGCAGAATGGTTCTGAGATCCCTGCCAACTGCTCTTGCTGCGCTGCCATTCAAAGCCTCCAGGTAGTGACTGACCTAGGACAATTATCAGAAAACCTCCAGAGGCCTCAGCCCCTCTTAATCAAGGTAATGCTTATGTTTTTAGTGCCAGAAGGGAGGGTTGTGATCATATCGTCTGACCACCTGCATAACACAGATCAGAGGATCACTCCCCGTGATATCTGCATTAAGCCCATCATTTCTGTTTGTGCTACAGCAGCTCTTTTAGAAAGACATCCAGTCTTGGAGACTTAAAGTGATTGAGATCCCACCACATCCCTAGGTGAATTGTTCCAATGGTTAATTGCTCTCCCTGTTAAAATGCAAAGCTCAGATGGCTGCCCCTGTTTGATGTGATGCCGGGAAGTGGAAATGGGAGAGAAAATAGGCCAGGTTAACGCTGCTGATCTTTCTCTTTTGCTGTTATTTAAGACAGGGCAGCATCTGTCTTATGATGAACTGAAGCATTTTCAGTCCCAGTACCCGGAATTGACAGAGATCACAATAGAAGAGAATTCAGCTGAACTCTGGCGCTGCCTTCCAAGACAGATGTTTCCATTTGCCTTCCCCTGGTGAGTTGAGACAAAACACATGGAAGTTGCATGCCACCCTTTTCCAGGGGTGCCCAAGCTTTGCCCAGTTCAGAAATGTATTGATGACTTCTCAGGAGCCTGAGGGTTACACCTGATTGGCAAAGACAAGCTAGGAGCAGAATTTAGCCCACCTTTGCTCCTAATGGAAATGCAGTCCATGGAGACTGCTGGCCTCAATCCGGAATGCTCCATCCTGAGCCACGTGGAAGGCTGCTCTGATCAAGTTGGAGCATTGCATGCTGGGACTTGGTGTGCTGTTCCTCATAGTAAAGATCAGGCTGAACTTGAGTCGCATGGTACAATTTCTTGGGCATAATCTGATCTCAGTCCGAAGGAAACCATCTACGTTCCAGATATAACTGTGTGGAGTCTTGAAGTGTGATGGGGGCCTCAGCTTGTGTTGACCATGTCTGTGAGCTGGGCTAAAGCGCTACACTTGTCCAAGGCTTTGGCACAGTACGGGAGCATGATAGGGTCCCATCTAGGGGCAACACCATATTTTTACAAACACCTTTCCACTCTGCTTATCCAGACTTCATAGAATCATAGAATATCAGGGTTGGAAGGGACCTCAGGAGGTCATTTAGTCCAACCCCCAGACAGATTTTTGCCCCCGATCCCTAAATGGCCCCCTCGAGGATTGAACTCACAGCCCTGGGTTTAGCAGGCCAATGTTCAAACCACTGAGCTATCCCTCCCCCCAAGGTCATGGGATCTTTCTCAGAAGGGGGCAGAAGACGGGAATGTGAGCAAGCTCAGGGAAGGGCGTGATGCGTCTATGCTTTGGTTAATGCTTAGTGGGGTTCTTTTTGCAGAAAACACAGTGCTCCTTATAGGTCAAGAGAGATGTTATGACGAGTGATTTGGCTACAGAAGGATTAATCATGTTATTCCACCAGGCAGAGATTTAAAAATAACACCCCCACTCAGCCAAACTATCTTGTCCTCGCTGACCTAGTGAATAGACTTGGATACCCTAAACCTTACATGTGTGGTTTCAGTAGGTCTGAACTCATGGACTGTCTTTTTGTTCTGTGTTTGTACAGCACCTAGCGCAATGGGATCCTGGCCCAGGACTGCGGCTCCTAGGCGCTACCACTACACAGATAGATAGTTAATAATAATGCAAGGTGGCATCTCCCCATTTTGATAATGATTTTATTTGATTAACGATTTAGTACAGCTTTTTCTAAGGGACGGTAGGGAAGGGGACTCCTTAGACATCTCCGATGAAGAATGAAGCCTTTTTCCCCTGACTCATCATATCCTGTCTCCTGTTCAAAGATGCATCACTGTGTAAGGGAATGGTGTGACCAGGGCACAGGCCGAGGAGCTGGGGAATCATAAATTCTAATCCCAACTCGGACAATGACTCGGTGGGAGCAAGAGCCTTCACCTGGCTGTGCCTCAGTTTCCCCATCTATAAAATGGGACTAATAATAATATGTAGCTGCTAACCTCACAGGTGTCGGGAATAAATGTTTGTGAAGACTTTTGACATTGGACAGAGGCTATACAAGTGCTAAGTATTATTATAAAGTGATTCTTTAAAATGTTTTATAGGTACAAAGCCCTGAATAAAACTCAGATTCTCCAGGAACTTTTCCCTGCCTTGTCTTTGCTGGCATTCCCAAAGGCAATCTCCCTGGAAAGCTGCTTTCTCATTCGCAACCCAGAGTTAGGGAATAAGGTGAGAAATCCATCATGGGGATGCTTTCCTCTTTTGTGCAGGTACATGACTGGCTTCGACACAGGAAAGTCACCCATGTGGAGAGAGTCAGTGTAAGGCCTATGCACCACATGTACCAGGACGTGCTCACATGTGGCTTGGGCTGTACGCTGGTGCTCTGCAGAGGAATAAATTTCACCCACTAGTGCAATCAGTTGCTTTTCCCAAGCGCACTAGGAAACGGAGATTCTTGTCTGATGATTAAAGCATGGGCAATGCAAGTTGGGGTGGCTGGGTTTTGTTCCTGCTTCTGTCCTGCCTCACTGTGATTTTGGGGGCCAGTCATTTGACCGGATGATCTTCATCCTAGAATATTAAAAGAACTGGCGCGAGAAATTGCAAGCCCCTTAGCGATAATTTTTAATGAATCTGTTAACTCGGGGGTGGTACCATTGGACTGGAAAATAGCTAATGTGGTTCCTATTTTCAAGAAAGGGAAAAAAAGTGACCCGGGTAACTACAGGCCTGTTAGTTTAACATCTGTAGTATGCAAGGTCTTGGGAAAAATTTTGAAAGAGAAAGTAGTTAAGGACCTTGAGTTGAATGGCAATTGGGACAAATTACAACATGGGTTTACTAAAGGCAGATCGTGCCAAACCAACCTGATCTCCTTCTTTGAGAAAGTAACAGACTTTCTAGATAAAGGAAATGCGGTGGATCTAATATACCTTGTTTTTAGTAAAGCTTTCGATACTGTACCGCATGAGGAATTACTGGTTAAATTGGAAAAGATGGGGATCGATAGGAAAATCCAGAGGTGGATACAGAACTGGTTAAAGGGGAGACTGCAGCGGGTAGTACTGAAGGGTGAACTGTCAGGTTGGAGGGAGGTCACCAGTGGGGTTCCTCAAGGTTCGGTTTTGGGTCCGATTTTATTTAATCTATTTATTACTGACCTCGGAACCGAATGTAGGAGTGGGCTGATAAAGTTTGCGGATGACACAAAGTTGGGAAGTATTGCAAATTCGGAGAAGGATCGGGATATCCTGCAGGGAGATTTGGATGACCTTGTAAATTGGAGTAATAGTAATCGGATGAAATTTAATAGTGAGAAGTGTAAGGTGATGCATTTAGGGATGACTAACAAGAATTTTAGTTATAAGCTGGGGACGCATCGGTTGGAAGTGACAGAGGAGGAGAAGGACCTCGGAGTCCTGATTGACCGCAGGATGACTATGAGTCGGCAATGTGACGTAGCTGTGAAAAAAGCTAATGCGATCTTGGGATGCATTAGGCGAGGTATTTCTAGTAGGGACAAGGAGGTGCTGCTTCCGTTATACAAGGCGCTGGTGAGACCTCATTTGGAGTACTGTGTGCAGTTCTGGTCTCCTATGTTTAAAAAGGATGAACTCAAACTGGAACGGGTACAGAGAAGGGCCACTAGGATGATCCGAGGAATGGAAAACCTTTCGTATGAAACGAGACTCGAGGGGCTCGGTTTGTTTAGCCTAACCAAAAGAAGGCTGAGGGGAGATATGATTGCTCTCTTTAAATATATCAGAGGGATAAATACCAGGGAGGGAGAGGAATTATTTCAGCTCAGTACTAATGTGGACACGAGAACAAATGGATATAAACTGGCCGTGGGGAAGTTTAGGCTTGAAATTAGACGAAGGTTTCTAACCGTCAGAGGGGTGAAATTTTGGAACAGCCTTCCGAGGGAAACGGTGGGGGCAAAAGACCTGTCTGGCTTCAAGATTAGGCTAGATAAGTTTATGGAGGGAATGGTTTGAGGGGAGAACATGATTTTAGTCAATTAGGCAATAATGTGCCATCGCTGGTAAAATGAGGGTCCGGCTGGAGAATCTTGCCTATATGCTCGGGGTTTTACTGATCGCCATATTTGGGGTCGGGAAGGAATTTTCCTCCAGGGTAGATTGGCAGAGGCCCTGGAGGTTTTTCGCCTTCCTCCACAGCATGGGGCAGGGGTCGCAAGCTGGAGGATTCTCTGCGACTTGAAGTCTTTAAATCACGATCTGGAGACTTCAACAGCTGAGTTAAGGGAAAGTGGGGGGATCAGCTTATGTGGCCTGCATCATGCGGAAGGTCAGACTAGATGACCATAATGGTCCCTTCTGACCTTAAAGTCTATGAGTCTAAGTCTATGAGTCTATGAGACTGCTCCGTGCCTCAGTTTCCCTATCTGTAAAATAAGGATCTGACTTGGGGTCTGTCTACCCTGCAATTAAAAACCTGCGGCTGGCCCGTGCCAGCTGGTTCAATTGCAGTGTAGGCATTCAGGCTCGCCCTGGAGCCCAGGCTCTAGGATCCTGAAGGGGGGAGGGTCCCAGAGCTTGGACTGCAGCCCAAGCCCAAATGTCTACCACAGTGAAACAGCCCCAAGCCCCGCAAGCCTGAGTCAGCTGGCACGGGCCAGCTGGAAGTGTCTAATTGCAGTGTAGAGACACCCATAGCTACTTAGGAGGAGGATTGTGAAGTTGGTTTAATGCAGTAGCTCCCAACCATTTTTTTGTTGGCACAGATCAGGGATGGGTGCTCCTGAGTGCATCACCTCACTCTGGGCCTCTGCCCTGTTCTCCCACCTCTGGGCCGATTTTTTCCTCCTCCTCGTCTTATTTGTTTTTCTTTGAGTGCAGAGGAGTGGTGGGGCTGTGCTGCTTTGTATAGCTGAATAGGGGTCCTCAGCAGCCTTCAGGGTCTTGGGTTTGGTATGATTTCATATTGATAATAAATAGTCCTCTAATATCAGCCACTGGCCTGGTTGAGCCATGCCCTGAAAGGACAGGGAGAGTTTTTGAAGCTCCTTCCTCTATATCTTTCCTCCTTCCTATCTGTTACAGACCCACAGACTGCACAGCATGTTTGCTATTGGAAGCGGCCAGCTAACCCTGAATATTGCACCTTACACTGAGTGCAGAGGACACTGCAGGACTCTGTCGGTGGAGCTGGAAGCTGGGGATTTTGGTGAGTTCCAGTGTTGCAGTGAGTAGACCTAGGAGATCCCCTCCCGAAGCAGGGCCAGGCACCTGCTCCCGGTTGTGTCTTGTCCAAATGCCTCCAACAGAGATGAGCATCTACTTCCAGCATCAAATAATTGCACCCAACCAACTGTACCAAGCCTTCTCATGTAGTGGGAGAAAAAAACTACTCCCCAGACCCCTTTGAGGGCTCAGTTTATGACCTGGAGCAGAAGCAGCAAAATGCCTTGAGATACTCTGTATAACTTCATGTCTAAGTCCTCATCCCCCACTGATTTCCAAGGATCATTTGAGTCTCCTTTCCCTTGAGGTCCTGCAGGCAGAGGAGTTTCATAGCCTTGTCCATGATCATTTTCTCTGCATTTATCAAGTCCCTTCTAAAGCCTTGTCGTGTCATGTTGCCGAAGATGAGCAGGGTCAGGTTAGGTGAGTGCTTAGAGAGGAAACCACTCAGGAATAGCCAGGATGCTGCAGGAAGTGGTGTGGATGACTTACTTGCCCCTTTCCCTCTGAGTCTGTTCTGATTGATGCCCTGACACAGTGCTGAGGGACGCGGTGCTGCTGGAGGTGCTGCCTTGTGATAGAGATGTAAAACGGAGGCCCTGATCAGCTTCTCTTCTCTCTACATATTTATCACAGTGGGGTCTGAGCTTGTAAGGTGCAATAACCAGTCATGGGCCCGTCTCATGCTGCTTCCTGTTGTGTTTCCCAAAGGCTATGCCAGCGCGGATTACTGGAAGATGAGCTTTAACTCCAGAGGAGCAGAGCCCATAGTCATTTGCGATGGATCCGCTAGCTAAGAACTGTGGGAGAGCTGGAGTCCACTCCAACGCGAGAAGAATGCGCAAGGGGCACAAGGAGATGGGCGTATAAAAGCGACGAAGCTGGTGCAGCTGAAACATCCGGGGAAGCAGCTTTGCCCACCCTGCCCACAGTGTGGGAGACCTTGTGTTTCAAGCAACCGTTTCCCTGACCTCCGAGGTAATACTTCCCCTCCTCAGACGTACCTAAGGAGAGAGGCAGTTGAACTGATCACCCCCCTCAGGTAAGCCCTGGGGGTGCACACGTTTGTTTTCTTGAGTCCAGGCGGCTGCATTTCTGAGAACAAGCTTCTCCTTGTGTCCTTTGTGACTATTGCACTGTTAGAATTTCACAGGGAGCCCCAGAGCGGGCGAAATTGTGACTGAAACCCTCCTTTGTGTTCATCCCGGAGAGGTAACGTTGGGCTGGCCTATTGGGGCAGCTCTGTCAAGGGGACACATGATTGAAATGTTCCATGGTTCCTCCCCCCACATCACCACCCAGTTCCATGCCTCACAAGGAGGAGAATGAGCCCCACAGCTCACAGACTCAGGCCGGGCTCCGTGCCACAGGAAAAGAATGGGCCTTACAGCCCGGCCACCACACAGCAGCGTTCTTATACCAAATGAATCTGTTTAACCCTTCCCCTCCCCCACCCCCTTGTCTCGTCGTGATTGCTCTTCTGCATTATGACAGCCTCAGAGTGTTGCTGGTTCCAATAAATAGTTCCTATGCTTTTTTCCTCCTCTAACAAAAATACTGGTGTGAATTTGGCTGTCCAGGTTCTGAGTGCAGAGAGCTTTGGTGAGAGCACTGCCTAAGCTTCCCCTTTCAGATCGATGAGTGAACTGCACTACCCCGCTCTCCCACGGCTCCACCTGGCTCTGACTTGGAAACCCCTGGTTATGATTTTCAAAAGTGACTAGTGATCTTGAGCCCCCCTGATTCTCAGACAATGCTGAGCACCCACCCTGTGAAAATCAAGCTCCCTTGAGGTGTCCCAAGTTGGCCACCCAAAATCACTGATCTCCTTTGAAATCTTGGCGCCTGTCTACATTGGCGAGGCAAACGGCATCAGCACCTTACTCACAAATCTTGCTTGCATATACTGTGCAGCTCTTGTTTGAAATGTGCTGGCTTGCTTTCCTTGGCCAGTATGGGAAGGACCTAAATGAGGGCAGCTTTTAGGATCTGGTTTACCTGGAAGTTCCTTCTTCCCCCAGTTATTTGTGTGTTAACTCCTTCCAGACCCCAAAGCTCCATCTCTCTCCAGAATGAATGTTGATTTTTTTTTTCCTGATTCCCTTCCGAGATTCCTCTGCATGTTTCCTGTTGCTTGTGTGCTCCCTTGTCCGGTGCCTTTAGAGAGGATCAGTTTCATCATGTGCCGGCTGCAGTTACAGCCGTTCCTCCCAAGTCTGATCCTAAGGGTCTTTGTTCCTGCTGTGGAAGATGACTTACAGATGTGTCAGACTGAAGTCATAGCCCCGGGCTGCAGTTCAGGACAGTTCGTATGGTATTGTGAGAGCCTCTTTTGTTTTGAAGCAAGTTAATCATGTTATGAGACACAAGAATCTTTTAGTTTGTAAACATCTTTAGGTCAATTAAAATAACGAAGTGGAACGATTTCATTCCACCCTCTTGCAGTTTTTTAACAACAGCTGGAAAATGGGTGTGAAGCTGCTGCTGGTATTTATTAATTGTGTTACAGTAATGCTTAGAGGTTCCAGTCCAGATCAGAGCTTCATTTTGCAGGGTGCTCTACAAAGCTAAAATAGAAGACAGTCACTGTCCCAAAAGAATTTATAATCCAAGGGCACAATCCTGCAAACACTTCCCTACATGCATAATGCTAATGAGTTATTCTGGGGGGGTGTTTGCAGAATCAGTCCCTAAAGGGGGAAAAGACAAAACAGGTGGAGTAGAACACGAGAGGGTGGGTGTTATTTTAGTTGGCTTTGAACAATAAAGGTCTAATTTAATTAGCAGGAAAATATCACAGGGAATTAGGTTAGTACAATTCCCAGTATTATTGTTTGCTAATTTTTGTTGGTGGGTTTTATACTAGTGATTGTACACCCCCCCTACACTCTCTCACACGTGTATCCCTCTGAAGGGCTGGATCCTGTGCAAGTTACCCTTGATTTCAGTGACACAAGGATCATGCCCTAAACACACAAATTAGTGACCGATGCTATTTACATTTTGGCAGCTTCTCAATTTAAATTCGGAGGCCAACAGGGTTACCTCATCAGCTCCCAGGTTTTTCTGTGCCTAGCTCCATTTTTATTAAGCATTCAATGAAATACACACACAGGGAATATATTGGACTCGGTGTTGTTAAGATCATGAGTGAGTTAGTGCTGCTACTGCTTCTAAGTGTCCTTGAATGTGACTTGTAAAAAGTTGCAGAGAAAATTGTCAGCAGTCTGTGAAATGCCTTTGTTTTGTGACCCACATCAGTGCCAACACGGTTCCCTGGCTTTATGGAAGGAGAAGAAATCAGCCAATAAGACAATCCGCTGTCAGGCTCTCTAACAAGCAGTGGATTCTCAAGCTGGTTTATGTCTACTCTAGACATGCTCCCATAAAAACAGCTTCTCCCCAGCTCAAACACAACTAGCAGAGTGTTACGCCAGTTGGAGAGAAGATGGTGAATCTGTCCTGATTGCAGATCTGCTTTCCAAATGCACTTTTGGTCTCTGCCTAAGTTTCCAGAACTGTGTCTAGGAGACACAGTGCTCACATGTCCAAACCTCACTGCCTTTGGAATTTACATCATTTGTTTTTACACTTCCAGTATGCTTTCTCCTCTGCTTCCAAGAGCCGTAAGGAATTAAAGGCAGATTTAGCTGCTAAACCAAAACAGGAGGAGGCTGATTTTATCTGCTTGTTAAGATACTGAAGAATCAAATGTGGCCCCATCAGCACTAGAGTACAAAGCCCTGGTGGTTTCTAGCTCAAGTCCATCCCTGTCTCTGGCAGCTAGGGAAATGGCGTTAGCACCTTGCTGTGATTCAGTACAGACATGGCTGTCGGGGTTTGAACTCTTGTGTAGATAAGGCCAAAGGAGAATGAGGCTAGTGAGTCTGAGATGCAGCGTGCTCCTACTCAACGATTCAGCTCCTAGTCATAGAATATCAGGATTGGAAGGGACCTCAGGAGGTCATCTAGTCCAACCCCCTGCTCAAAGCAGGACCATCCCCAACTAAATTATCCCAGCCAGGACTTTGTCAAGCCTGACCTTAAAAACCTCTAAGGAAGGATATTCCAGTGCTTCACCACCCTCCTAGTGAAAAAGTTTTTCCTAATATCCGACCTAATAGTCAACACTTTCCAGGCTAGATAGTCTGATGACTGCCGGCAAGAACTGGTCCCATCCCATCCCCCACCCCATTTGTGTTTTGGGGCACAATGTCTCCCACCCAGAAAAACAGCAGCATTTCCAAAGGCAGTGACAGGCTTGAGAGGTGGGGAAGGGCGATTCTATTCTTGCAATCTCCCAAAACTGAGGACTTGGTAGAGAAAGGGTTAAATGTTGCCCCAAACAGTCAGCCGGCTCCTATGGCTCTGGAGTTTGTAACAGTGGAGCGACCTGGCCATCTTCTCAGTTACTGAGGCATCTTAGCAAGTGGATCAGGTTGTTGATGCTGTATATTATGTCACGGATGTCCATGGCCTCCAGCGTTGCCTGACATTTGTGGGCCTTTCTGCGTACAACATGTCTTAAACAGTCCCTGTGTGCGGCTAGTTTGACACCTTGCCCTGCTCTCTACTGCCATCTGCCAGGGGCCCAACCCCATTCGCCCAGATCATCCCTCTTTTGAAATTCACTGCGTGCCTAAATGCTTCGTGTATGAGCCTCCCTGAATGCCATAGCCTTGCAAAGCTGCTGTGAAAATTCACCAGTCAAGGCACAAAACTTGCTCACTTACCCTTGCCCATAATAACCGGAGATAATGAAACTGTCATATCTTACTCACCTGTAAGGAAAAACTATCTGCTCCAGGGAAGGGGGCAGGTAGAACTTCATAGAGGCTGGTTTAAGGCCTGTCTCCAATAATCCAAGACATTGTCTATCCCGATCTCTCTGGTTTCTGAACTCAGGGTAATTGAATGCAGGAGAAAGGAGTCTGATTACTTTGCTAATTTCAACACTGGGAAACTAGGGGGATCTGAACACCCAGTTCCCACTGGTTTTTAATGAGAATTGTGCAGTGCTGCAAATCTGAACTTCCGACTCCCATTGCAAAATCCCTGGAGAGTTCTCTAGGGTAAGATCCTACTGGAGTCAGATGGCTTTTGGTGCATTTACTAGCCCCTCTCTCAACAGCTGTTGCAAAGTGCCCACTCTCCAGATGGGAGGGGAGGGAGGTACTGGCTGTGCTGTATGGTGCACTTCGTCTTGGCATATGTCTACACTAATTGCAGCTTGGGTACACGTCCCCACGCTAGCTTTAATCTAGCTAGCACCAGTAACTATAGTGGTGAAGACATGGCGGCATGGACCTCAACACGGGCTAGCAAGGCAAGTACATACCCAGGGTATCAGGCGGCCTTGTACAGCCCACGTTGAAGTCCGTGCCGCCAGGCCTTCACTGCTCTTTTTAGCTGTGCCAGGCAGGTTAAAGCTGGCATGGATTTGGTTACCCAAGCTGCAGTCACACCTCTGATTGCAGCGTTAGATACAGCCTTAGAGGAACAGGGAAGAAAATCAAGTTACTGGTGATTTGAATGGTAACCGCGCTACATGGCATGAGGAAGACGAGCCTACTACCCTTTCTCACGCAAGTGGACCTGCCTCACTGCAGTGGGACTGCTGTCATGAGGAAGGGTTGCAGGCTCGGCCCCGATCCTGCAGTGTGCTGGGGTGCCCTTGGCTCCCTGTTAATTCAGTGGGAAATAAGGGAACTCAGCACTTTCCAGGATCAGACCACAAGTAATGAGCAATTCCAGCAGCCTTGCTACCAACAAACAGAAACCTTTCACCTCTCAGAGAATTCAACTTTCTTCTCTTTGTATATTTCTATCAAGAGCTCTCTCTTCTCTTCTGGAATGCCTGAAAATAGGTATCTTAAAGGACTGAGGGACTGTCGTGTTGAGTTAAACATGGGAGGTGCTGGCCTTTCCTTTTGCTGTGCAGATTCCAGCAAATGAGCATTGATTTATTTTTAATGTTCTCTCTTTGAGTAGTGGGAAATGGGGGGTAATATGGTTAATTGCGACATATTACAAAGACTCAGGGGTATGCTGGGCAAACTATTCTATAGATATATGCATAAAGACTGTTGAATTATGTACACTATACATTCAAGTGGCTGTTAAAGAATGTAAATATGCAGTGAATTTTATGGATGATTTTAATTTAATATATTGCAAAGTTTGTAAATATTTGGGAAAAGCCTGTAAAGAATGTAAATAAATCAGCTTTGTATGTAAGAAGAATTTTAAAATTGTTTTTACTTTTTGCATTTAAATACAAACATTGATGCACCTTTTTCCCCAATGTGGATTTTTCTTTTTTTTATTAAAGAAACAGTGTTGTGAGCAAGAGCTGTGGTTTTGTGACTATACTTGAGCTATAGTGTATAGGCAACAACCTTTGGTTCCTGGGGGGTGCTTGACCCCTGCTCTGCCCAGGGGCCTGCCCCCTCTCCACTCCTTCCTCCAAGCCCCTGCCTCTTCCCACCCCACCCCACCTCTTCCTGCCCCTGGTCTGCCTCTGCTTCACCTCTTCCCGCTCCTCCCCTCCCCTCCAGAACCTCCTGCATGCCGCGGAACAGCTGATCACGGTGGGCAGGAGGTGCTGGGAGGGAGCGGGCGGGGCTGCCGGAGGGTGGGAGGCGCTGATCCGTATGGCTGCTGGTGGGTGCTCAGCACCCACCATTTTTTTTCATGGAGTCTGTGCCTATGCTATGGTGGCAGAAGTGGTGGAGGAGAGTATAATAGAGATCTGCATATGCTGGCTAGGTTGACAGCATACAGCATTAAATATCTGATAGTCTGATAATATGTCTTTACACACAGGTAAAATTTTCAAAAATGTGTAAGTGATTTGAGCCTAAATCTCAATTGCAAAAGTGATTTAGTCTCCTAAAGTCTTGTCTGCACTTAAAGCTTTGCTGCTTTACCTGTATTACTATAGTTAAAGTGGCAAACCCCACCCCTAGTGTAGGTGTGGTTATGGGTAGAAAAGTGATTATACTAGTGTAGCTTATTCCTGTTGGAGAACTCAAGTAAGCTATACCAATATAAGGCACATGATACTAGTATAACTATCCACACTAGGGCTGTTACTGGTATATCGGTGTCAGCAAAAAATCAGCCAACATAGTTATATCAGTAAAAGCAAAGTAGCTTTTGAAAATTGGATTTAGGTTCCTAAGTCACTTACGCGCTTTTGAAAATGTTACCCAGAGGCTGGTATTTTCAAAGGAGCCCAAGGAGTTAGATGCCCAACTCCTGTTGATTTTCAGTGGGATCAGGGTACCTAACACCCTTATTTTCTTTTGGAAACGGTAGCCGTTCGGCCTGATCCAGAACCCACCGAAGTCAGATCAGATCTACAAACCCTATTGTGTGTTTTATATCTCATACGTTATGTAACAAAATTATTTGTTCCTAATGATCTATGGGTTTATTGGAGCTGCACAATACATGTCTATATTGAAGCATTTGAATACAAGAAAGCCGCATTCCTCACACACTTACCTAATGGGGCCTGCGGGAGACAAGCTTGTTAGCAGAGGGGTGGGAGCTTGGTGCTTGTTTTGCAGCATCTCAGTGCTACCAATGTTGGTTCCAAAAAGAACAACTGTGGGTGGGATCCTGGAGTTGAGAAGCTGTCCTTGATCAGTTTAAAATTTGCCAACATCTGCAGCTGACCCTGCCAGAAAAATCATTGTTTCTAGTAGACAAGCCATGGCAATTCTGAATGGATTGGGGTGCTGCTGGATACCCCGCCCAAACCACAAGCTTCAGCACCTAGAGCACACCAGGAGAGGCCACATGGGGCAGTCAGAGCATAACACACAGTCTGTGGCTTGGGTGGTGGATCCAGGCCTCCCCCCTTGGCCATAGACAGGGACAGGAGGGGATGGAAGAGAGAGAGGTCCAAGTAACTTCCCTAATGCCTTCCTACTTTTTTTTCATAAACATCCCTAAACGTCCCAGAGCAAGGTTGGCATGTCTGTGTTCAGGGTAGGAAAAAAGGGGGGGTGGGAGGTAACGTACGTACGTGTGTGTGTGTGTAAATGGATATATATTAACAATTCTCCTTTAACTCCTCTCTTATTAAAACTCTGCAGTTGTTTTGTCAACTGTATTTAGAATAGCACTCACTGCGTAAAAAGGCAAATTTCCCTCTTAAAATGAGGAAAGGACATACATTCCTTATTTATACTGCTTCCAGTAAGGAAAAATTAAATACGTTTCAAAAAACACCCCATTCTTTTCAAAATGGCCGACAGCACGTCTCCAAAAATGATACCCAGGGGTCCTGGAAAGGACAGAAAGAGTAGGAGGGACTTCCAAAGCCATAGGGCCAAAAAGGGGGTGGGGCAAAAGGTGGGGCAATGGAGTGTAATACAGAGTTCTGATTGGCACAATGCCATGATGCGTAACAAGGAAACCTGTCAAAATGAAAGACATTTGTGATGAAAGACATGGAGCTATTACTACTTTCCCTTAATATCCCTCCTTATGCAGTTTCATAAGGTTTTTCTCACTTCCTATCCAACCCAAAATTTTTGGGAAGGGCTATAAGCTCTCCTCCTTAAGGGTATACGTTTATCTGATGAGGGTCAGGAAGAAACTTTCTGTGGGGAAGGTTATTCCATAACTGCCCACTGCACCTTCCTCGGGTGCTGGCCGCTCCAAGACATGATAATGGACAAGATGGCTGGGACCCCGATCTGATCTAGAATTATAAGTCCTGCATGTCTAGTGTCGCTGCTTGTTGTTAAACAGCTGCCATGTTCTGCCCCAGAGGTGGCTGCATTTCAATGGCAGGTGAAATGATCCCTGTGTCTAGTCTGTGTTTCAGTTTGGAAAACATTTGGGGATCCTCTGAAAGGAAAGGGGAGGGAGTAATTACATAAGTAATTATAGGACATCACAAAGGGTTATATTAATGTTTAAATCTGAAATTACAGCAGTAGCAGGGCCCCAAAACGGCACTCCTTCGATTGTGGAAAAAATTAATACCAGGATTTCACACACATGCTAGCTCTCAGGGAGTGGGCATTGTTCACTCATTGGCCCCTTAAGCAACATTCCTTTTTCATCAGTGACATTACATGGGTGTGTTCCCTGTGGCTCTGAAATGTATTATAATAACGAGATAAATTTCCTCCCCTAATCTCAGGCTTTGGGTGTTCCTTGTTTTGGGAAGTGCTTTAAATCTATCTGCCAGAGGCATGGGCTGCTAAAGCCAGAACCGACTGCCACAATGCTGAGCTCTGGGCTCCCTCCCTTTCTCCTATTGCTCACAGCTGTGGAGCTGAGCTGGTCCCTTACAGATGATGAACAGAGGTTGATTGTGGCGATGCACAACCACTACCGCTCCCAGGTCTCCCCTCGTGCTGCAGACATGCTGAAAATGGTAAGTGTCCCATGGGAAACCCAGGGTCTGATTGCAGTGGGATATCTGGGGTCTTCTATATCAGTGTTTCTCAGTGACCAGTCCGTGAACTGGTGCCAGTCCCTGAGATTTCCCTCACATAGTTCATTAAGGCAGCGAGCCGGTCCCTGATATCAAAAAGGTTGAGAAACACTGTTCTATATGATAGAAAGGCATGGGATATCTGGAGGTCTCCTGTGTGATAGGAATCCTGTATCTTATTGAATAGCTGAGGGTCTCCTACATTTCTTCTTAAAATAAGAGCAGCCTTTGTTATGAAATGTACTTTGAAAGTTTAAGTTCATAAATGTGATTGACTCTAGCTGGAGATCCAGTGTAAAAATTGTTTCTTTTTCCCTCGTAGCAATGACCGAGCTACACACCATGTGCAGTAAATGTCATGGCTGTAGTAAACAAATTTGCAATGAACAAATAACCAAAACTTAAATTCACCAGCCAGAGTGATGAAATCCCAGCTGAGCTCGGAGAACTCTTCTTAGTGTTGCACTTGTGATTACTGATGGACTCTTTTGTCTATAGAATGGAATATAAAATTGAACCTCAACCATTGATTTTGGCTGTGTAGATATCTTAATACTAACCATCTTTCATCCAAGGTGCTCGTGTATGTTCCTTCTCACAACACCCCTGCAGAGTAGGTCTGGCGAAACAGTACTATCCCCATTTTATAGATGGGAAAATCTAATGCATGAAGAAGCAATATGCCCAAGGTCATATCGTGTGTCGGTCTAAGCTACAAATAGAGGCTCATTCTTTCGGTCCCTGCTCTAACCATAAGAGGATGCTGCTTCTTGTATTAGACCCCTTGATTTTTAGTAAGATGTCTCTCCACATCTGATGAATTACTTAATGTTTGTAAAGTGTTTTGAAGAGGGAAAGTGCTACAGAAAGTGCAAGGTGTTGATATTTGGACTGCATTACCCCTTTGGCTAAAGACAAATTTGCAGCTGGTTCTTTATCATGACTACAGTCGGTCGGGGATTTTTTGATGAGCACTGAAAAATGTCAATTTGTCAAAACCAGAACTGTTCACGAAACAGGGTCAATTTTGATGACTCTCGTGCTGCCAAAATATTTGGAGGGGGAGGAGGGAGGAGTTTTCATTTTTTCAAATTTTCATTTTGAAATTTTAGTAAATTTCAAGTTAAAAGAAAATTTTAAAAAAGTCAAAATTGAAACAAAATGTTTCAAAATTATAAAAACGAAATGGTTCGATTGACCCAAACCAATTTTTTGGGAGGATTTTTGGTATGTGAAAATTGTTGAGATTTTGATTTTTCATCCTTTTTTCAGGATGGGAAACATTTTCAATATCTCAGGACAAGAAAACCATCCCCTTCTGCCCCCAGCTCTAATCATGACCTGATTATTTTAGGCCTTGCCAGCACACACAATTTGCACTGATTTAACTAAACTCGTTTGTGTAGACAAAACCCAAGTTAATTTGACACTATTTTAGTTCAGGGGTGAAATTTTTAAAAAGCACCTAGGTCCCATTTTCAAAAGGGTCTTAGGAGTCTCAATCTCACTGAAAGTCAAAGGGACTTAGCCTCCTAAGTGCTTAATTCATTTTTTTAAAATGAGGCTTAGGGCTTGTCTACACAGTGAGGTAATGTGCTCTACTGGGGTGTGATTTCTAAAACACATTAGTGTGTTGCACATGAATTGACCCTGCTGGTGCACTTTAATGTAGTGCTGTTTGGGTAATGATAAAATCCCCCAAAAAGTTTTCTAGGGTGAGCTGAAACTTGGAAAGCACAAGAAGGGTGGTCATTGAAAATGCTTCAAAGACATTATTAAGTAGAATCTGACCTTAATTGACATAAATATTGATAATTTCAAAGACAAAGCCAAGGCCAGATCTGAATAGAGAGCAACTACCAATGAAGGTAGTAAACACTTTGAGGAAGACATACATGAAAAACGGATCAAAAAAAGGGGCAAGAATCCTGCCAAGTCCTCAGTGGGACCCTGCACTTTCTTGTGTGACATCTGTTAGCAATCTTGCTCCTCGTGGATTGGACTGTACAGCCACATGAGAACGTGTGATGCTGTGATGTCATCGTCGGATACGCCAGCCAGCCATACAGTGCTGTCTGAAACACTAAAGTGCACGAGGGAACCTTTAGTGCGCACCAGCAGAGCCTATATACAGACCAATTAATACTCAACACATCAGTGCGCTTTAGAAATCAGACCCACCGTGTGGACAAGCCCTTAGGCTCTTAACTCATTGAAGCAATTTTGAAAATGGCTTAATGAAGTATGCTGCTGCTTATTGTAAAAATGGGATGATGACTTAGGCATATGACAAATAAGAACATTCAATCCTATTTGTTTGAAATAAAAGCTTGAAGCCAGATTTGACTGCTTTGTTGCACTTTCCGCCTTGACTCAGATCCTGTCCTGAAAAACGTATTGATCTTGATTGTGGTTTACTCTGAGTCTTGCATTTGTCCTGAATTTACCATGAATAGATGTGAAATGCATACACCCAGGCTACATTTACTATTATAGAATTGGAAAGACCTGATGGCCAGCAGCAGCAGTTTTTCCCCGGCATGGTAAACTTTTGTAAACGGTTCAGCTTAGAAACAATCCCGTGAGTCTCTGATTAAACTCCCGGTGTCTGCATTGCTCATCTGGATTTCCAAGGACATTTTTCTTTTGGAAGAACCAGATCTCAGCTTCTGAGTTCACCTACTCCCGTGGCTAACTGCCCATCTGCAGTCACCCTGTGCTTGTGTTTGGGACAGCAGAGCTGGTTACCATGGAAATGGTTATACAATGGGCATACGCAGGCCAAAGCCTTATTTTTTTAATGAAGCAAATAACACAGAGGTTAGTTCTCTGCTTATGGAACCCGGCTCTCTGCCACAGGGAGGGGATAATGAGCCCCCACACCAAGACCTGCAGCCAACCCTCTTTCCAAAGCCACATCAGACACCCCCCCCCCCTTCCCCTGGCCGCCGCCCCTCTTATAAGTAAGCAGAGAGCAACTTGATAGAACAGTGACTGCATCTTCTCTGATCCTTGCCACCTACCCTTGGGCTTTGACACGTAGGAATCAGTGAACCAGGAATCATCCTCACACCAACTAAGATAATCACCTTCCCTGCAAAATACTGAGGGTTTCCCCATTGGATTACACCCTACTCCTGCCCCCATCAGCTGCTAAACCCACCTTCCTCACCCGCTGCTCCGTCCCTTTTGATTTTCGTGATCTTTCAGTGGGCTTGTATGTCTGGGCTCTCCTCCCACCTGCCCTGCTATCTCTGCTGGTTGGATTTCAGAGAAGCTGCTGCCTCCTTTAAAGAATGTAATGAAAGTCCAAGCAGTTGCGTCATTGTGTTCCCTTTAATGCTTCTCTTGTGCAAAAACTTCTCCCTCTCTTACCTAGCAACCGCTGCTAGGTAAGATATGGAGCTCAGCTGGACAAGGAGCTGTTGTCAGTCCGGGCACTGGAGGGATCACTTGGGAGGCAGCTGTCAGACTGAGTCTCCGGTCGAGTTTAAATGATGGGGTTACCAGATGTGTGCGCTGGCTCCTGCGCTCTGGCCTTACACAGCTGTTGAACTGGGCAGGTCCCGCTCTCCAGGCATTCCCACAGTTTGTCCTGTTCATTGTGGTCAGTGTTTCCAACAAGGGACCCAGGTCTTCTGGGTTCCTTTCCCAGCTTGTTGCCAGGTGACATTGAATGAGTCACCACGCTGCTCATTGCCTCAGTTTCCCCATTGGTAAAACAGGGATAATTCCTAACTGGGTAGGGGTGCTTTGAGATCCAGGGACGGAAGCTGCTGTAGAACTGCCCATTGACAACCAGCATTTTATATTCACGTTTGCCTGAGGCTGGTATATTCAAAGGAACCTAAAGGGGTTAGATACTGAGCTCCAATGAATTCCACTGGAATTTGAGCAGCTAATGCCCTTGAGTTCCTTTTAAAACCCCATCCTAAAACAGTTTAAGGCTCCAATCCAGCAGTTGCACCCCTAAAGGGGACTCCATCATCATCATGGCAAATCCCAGTAACATGGCCTCCTTGCAGATCAAGCGCCACCTGGATCAATCTCTGGCTAGATCCTCAAGGTGGTCTAGCTGGATATTCAGTCTGTGCCTATTACTGGCAATCTTATGGCACCACCAAAGCTTTTGATGCCCATGTGATCCCTTGTGGCGGCGTTCCTTGGTAAACACATTTCAGAATTCTCTGGTCTTCCATTGTAATAATACATACCCACCACGAAAGCTGCTGAAAGCAAGCCAGTGCTGGTGGGTGCAGGGTTCAGCTTTGAATATCCTCATTTCTGATCTTGTCCTGCTATGTAATATGGACCTGCCGACAAACATGATAAGAATCAGAAACGTCACTTTGGGGAGAGCCATAGACTTCGCCAGTGTTTGGGAACAGAACCCAGGAGTCTAGGTTCTAACCTCTGGCCCCACTGGATAGGGGACAGGCTGTGTGTGTCTCAGCATGTCAGAGGGTTTCATCCATGTGACGAAGGACTTGATCCTGATGGACAATCCTCACCCCGGCCTCATGCTTTATGATGGTGGCAGCTTTGTGTTTGTTTCAGAGCTGGGACCCCGACCTGGAAGCCTTTGCCAAAGCCTATGCAGCGAAGTGCATCTGGGGCCACAACAAGGAGCGGGGCCGGCGGGGTGAGAACCTCTTTGCCATTACCGACGAGATGGACGTGGAGGTGGCCTTGGACCAGTGGTACAACGAGCATGAGCATTACAACCTGACCACGTCCAAGTGCTCCGTAGGACAGATGTGTGGCCACTACACCCAGGTATCTGGCTACAGGGCATGAGGGGCTGGATTCCTGGGAGGGAGTTGTGCTTGGGACTTGACCCACCATAGAAATATTGTTTAGGGGCTGCGATACCATGGTGATGTGCCCCGTATAAGAATCTCAGTTGGACAGGATAGAATTGATTCTTATTCGGCATGGATGGCTCACTTGTGTGGGCATCATGAGCTGCTGTGATCATTACAGGCCTGCTGAACAGTTTCCCTTTAGGGAAAAAAAAGTCTTTAAAGTCATCTGTGTATTTTAATGCTGCACCGTTTGGTCACTCAGGAAGCCTGGTGTGGCTTTCAAGTCCCTGTAGCAGATGGGTTCTGGCCTCAGAACTAGGATCCAGGTCAAGCTCTATGTTTTGAACTCTCCACTACTCCAGTGTATTTGGATCTGGACTTTTCATTTGTCTTAGTATAAAGACAGGGGCCTCTTCCAAAATTCAGATCTGGATTATGAACAGCACCATAATTCAGGGGTACGTGGGTTGTGTCCAGATAGAGAAGAATTGTTGATGGGGGTCTCTCATCCAAGCACTAACCAGGCCTGACTCTGCTTAGATGTAATTCTGAAATGGTGTCCCCTTCATGCACAGAGTCCATGAGTCTGCTACAGCTCCTGGTTTGGGGAGTTGGTCCTTTAGCCCAAGCTGTAGTGGCTCATGCTTTAGCTTTGGAGGTCAGGGAAGAAAGTCCTGGTGACGACTGAGCTGACGCTGGTTGCAGATGACATACACGCTCATTCGTCTAAACCTCTTCTCACAGGCAGGGTGTCTCATGGTCTCCCAGCTGTGCTCTTCCTGCCTTGTGCTGACAGACGTAACCCTTCTCTCTTCCTCCCTTGCTTTAGGTGGTCTGGGCAAACAGCGAACGCATTGGCTGTGGGATGCAATTCTGTAAAACCCTGCATGGTGTCGAGGAACCTGACCTCTACCTGCTGGTCTGCAACTACGATCCCCCGTGAGTGCGGGCTTCCCAAGGGCTGCTTTGATTCCATCTTGGCCCTGTCACATCTACTTACAGTAACCTTCATCCCCAGGCTGAGAAGGAAAGTCCTTCCCAAGGCTCTGCTTACTTTGCTTTCAGGTAGCGAGTGGAAGCCAATCCCAATAAAGCCCTTTGTTGTCATTTTCCTGTGGCAACAAAGAGAGGCAGGTCTTGTAAATCCAGCCCAGGTCTGGGACAGAGGAGTCCTCGGTTTTATCTGTGGTGCTGCCATGGACCATGTGTCCTTGGGTGTGTCATGAAAAGCCACGTAGTTACAGGGCTGTAAATCTAGACTTGCTCCACATAGGTCAATGGAAGCACCCTGGGTTTACACCAGTGTCACTAGGAGGAGAATTTGGCTGTTAATTTCTCTGTGCCTCATTTTCCCCAGCTGTGATACGGAGAAAATGAGCTTGATTCTGCTCTCAGTCTGGTGTCATGCCACTGACTCCATGGAGTTCCTTGTGATGATTTACATCAGTGTACTTCACAGATGTGTATAGGGGGCTTTGAGGTCCTCTGTCGATGGGGCTGTATAAACGCAAGGGCTAACTATCAGAGCTGGTTAGAGTGTTCCCAGTCTGGTAACCTCTATGGAAATATGCATGGAAATTTTAACGGAAGAAGGCAAAATAAAACGATGAACGTTCAGGAAACTGAGGGGGTCCTATTTTGAGCAGCTGTAACATTAAGGGCCTGATCCAAACCGCTGCTGAAGTGAATGGAAAGGTTCCCAGGCTTAGGCTCAGGCCTCTAGACAGTGTTCATAAGCCCAGGTGCCATTAGTAGCACAGTCAAAGCTCCCCCCACTTTTTAAGTGACCCTTGATTTATATCTTAGCAAGATCTGACTTGAATGAAAAATCTCCCTCCTTTTTGAGATGGGGAGGGGATTCGTCCCCTCTGTTGTCATGGGCTGTTCTCTTTTCATCTGCATGTTCTGCTTCCAGCGGCAACGTGAGGGGTCGCAAGCCGTACAAGGAAGGACCTCCATGCTCCATGTGCCCCGAGGGCTATACGTGTAGGAATTCAATCTGTGGTACGTGAAGGGAACTGGAGGAGCCAGTGTCTCCACTGGACGGGCCAGAGAACTGGGGGAGGGGCAGGTTCCACCCATGGGACAATCCCCCTGAAAGCAGTGGGGTTAGCTTCTGAATGAGGTGCTACTCCAGGAGTAAGGGGACAGAATCTGGCTGTATGTGGGGATCCCAGCACTTCCTCAGCCCTGCCGGCAAAGTTCTCCCAGGTCTCAGGATCAGGATTCTAAGGCTTTCCCCGGAGGTGAATCACCTTTTTGTAAGTATTTATTAGTACTGTCAAAAAGGAGCTGGATTGGCAGACCTGGGACTGGAGTCCTGTGTTTATCTACAGAGCAGGCATAGCCTAGGCAGCAGCAAAGCAAGCTTCCCTCACACATGCTGCCTTGCCAATGTGCCTCATCCTGATCTGACGGGACCCCCCCTACCCTCTGCTGGGGTAGGTCATTTTCACATTCTGCAGCCCATGCAGTCCTTGGCATCTCTGCTGCAGACACCAATGCGTGGTGGTAGCTCTGTCCACTGGGAGCTCCCCCAGCTCGTTCCACTGTTCAGCCACCAGAAGACAGGAAAGACTCACTGTCCTCCAACCTGGGCCATATTCGTGCTGGTGACAGATGGGAAAGGCTTCCTATCCCATTAGCAACTACGTGGGCCCCTGCTGCCAGGAAATACCATTCCAGAGGGGTGGCGTTTTCCCACATCAGGTCTGAAAACAAATGAAATCTTGGGACCTGCCCAGAAAAAAGGATGTCCCTGCATCTGGTGGGCTACCTACTAAGCTCAATTCCCACCAAGGGGCAGAGAGAAGGGGGTGTTTCCCCGAGAGCCCGGTGAAAGTGCCTGCCCCTGCTTTCTCCAGCTCTCCTTTGCTGGTTTTCATTGGCACTGCTCGGGGGGCTGGGGCTCCGTTGGGCTCCGAGTGAAGCTGGTGGTAACCCACAGCCCTCTTTGTCTCTCATCAGAACCCAGTGTAGACTCAGAAGAGGCCTCTCCATCCTCTAGGACAACAAGGCCAAACCTCACCACTAGGCCAGCTCTTGCAACAGCCACCACTACCACGAGCCCGACCACTATCACTACGATAAGGCCAGCACCCACCACCGTGAAAAAAAGGCTGACACCCACCACCACGAGGCCTGCACCCACTACCACAAGCCCAACCACCACCACTACGTTAGGGCCAGCACCCACCACCACCACCGCCACAACAAGGCCGCCACCCACCACCACCACCACCACAAGCCCGCCACCCACCCGAACAGCAAGGCCCAACCCCACCACGGCCACTGGGCCAACATCCTCCTTAGAGCCCACCTCAGACCTAAACCTTAAAACATCTCCAGAAATGCAAGTGGACTCTGAGGAGACTGGTGCCCCATTAGTGACCACGGAGGCTGTGCTCTTTCTAGACCTGGAGTCGACCTTCAGCCCGACTGCCTCTCCAGAAATGGAGAGAGACTTGAAGGAGTCCGATGCAGTCTCTGTGAGAGCTGAGCCAGCCCTCTCCTCAGAGCCACCTCCGTCCTTCAGCCTTACAACTCCAGAAACCGATCTAAGCTTGGAAGATACCAAGCAGCCCCCACCTGCCCTAAAGCCAGCACCTGCCACTGCTAAGGTGACCTCCCTCCTGCACTTATTACCACCTTCCAAGGCCGCAGCGGGGCACAGCCTTGCTGTCCAGTCCTTCCTGTCAGGTAAGGCAGCTGTGGAGTGAGTCTTGGACGTAAAGGACATAGGCAACCCCTAAGAAACATAAATGCACTTAGCAGGAAACAATAGCAAACTGGCCCTCAAACTCCTTCCCCACACAGCACCGACCCCCTTCCCCGCACCTTCTCCTGCACTGTGTCCCCTAACATTATCAGGGACTGTCTGAGCTGCCTGGTTCATGAAGCATGAGCATGGATTTGGCCGGTTCCCCACTAACCCACGAGCAGAGTCACGAGCTGTGTCTTGCCTTCTGAGGAGCTCTGTGCTGCTGTCCTGCGCTATGCATTATCCTTGCCCATGTGGCAGCATGTCGCAGAGGGAGCAGTGTGAATCGGTCCTTTGCCTGTGGCTTCAGCTTTGACTCCAGGTTTCCTTCCTTTCTGCACACAGGTGCCAGAGAGACCGAAGAGCTGATGATGGGCCCCACAAAGAAAGACTTGGACCAGCAAAATGGTTCAGCCACCAGCAACCTTCTGGAGTTCTCTCTCTTCCTAGTGGCCGCTCCCCTGCTGACAGGCCTTCTGCTCTGAAGGGTCTGCCTCGACCCTCTGTGCTCCTATCCTCAAACTCTCCTCCAGTACTGATTGTCCCGCTGCCCTGCTGGGCGTGGGGCATATCAATCAGGTGAAGACCCCCTACTGGGCCTTCTTGCCACTCGCTATGTCCACTCCAATCCAGTTATACTCAGCAGTGCCTGGCAAACCACACCGGCCATTCTGTTACGCTAGCACTGCTGAGACCCCATATCCCTGGTTACCAATAAAAGGGAGGTAGCTAAGTTTTAAGTGCCCAGCTCATCTGTCAAAGGGGCAGGAGCAGCTGGGCGAAGAGAGGGGAAATTCCTTGGTGCCTCTTCCTCCCCGAGTTCTAACTCTAACCTGAAGTTCCATAATTCCTACTCCAGTCTGACTCAGAGATGGGACTCCTTAATACTGAAGATCCTGGATCCCCACCAGTCTGGAGGCCCTCCCCCTAACCGGAACCAATGAATGATCTACTATCTTTGTGGGACTGTAAGGTCCTTCCCCACAAATCCTATATGAAAGGCAGTGCAGAGACATGGATGGTACAACCCTATCTAAACTCCTCTCGCTTCCTCCACCAAATGTGTCTACAGTGCACATGCCCCTTCAGGAGAGCCAGGAATTGAACCCTGCTCATCAGTTTTGCTCGGTCCATTGCATGCATCCCATTCCAGAGTTACTCCATGTGGCATGGTTCTTATTTTTTTGTGCATGGGAAAAAATATTTCTGCACTAGAGAGGAAGCGGTGGCTCATTATAAAACTCCTGTTGGCATCCTCTATATTGTGTGGCATGACTTTAGACTAGCTTCTCTTGAGTACCTGAAGGGTACGACGTATTTCAAGTTAGATACAGATCTTGGCCTATGGTGTATGTATCTTATACACACAGTGGAACCTGACCCAGCAAAAACCAGGTGGCGTGGTGGAGTTCAAAGCAAATTCTGCTAGGGGTTATCCACTGGAAGCACAACTTACCATAGAGCAGCTTTCACTGTATGTGGCATTCATGTTTGTTTCCCCTCTGCGTGTCTGCTCCATGTATCTTACGTTTCCAAGAAAGGTGTGTTAACTACACGACAAGCCTCAGGTGGTCCAGTTAAGATCCAGTGGAAGGTGCCACTTGATATGAACCTTTTAGCAACCATAGCATCCCTTGGTTTTGCTACCCGATGAGGTGGGGACTGACGTGAATCCCGTAGCCCCTTAGCTACGAGGGACACTGTTTCCAATACCCCATGAGGTCCTGCTTCCAATAAACAGTGTTCTGAAATCATCATGCTGGAGTGTACCATGTTTCACTGAGTGGCGGATGGAGTCCTGTGGCTGGAAGCTTGGTAACTTGCATGTGAAAGAGTCTCTTGGCTGTTTTCTTAGTGGAGAGAGAAATGGCTTCTGTGGTCCCTCCCTTCTTTGCGGTAGTGCTAGGAATGAGGCAAAGTCCCTTATTCATTTCCTTCAGGATTCCCGAGCATTATGAGAGTGGGGGTGCGCACAACATGTAACGCAGTAGCTCTCAACCTTTCTGGATGACTGTACCCCTTTCAGGGGTCTGATTTGTCTTGCGTACCCCCCAAGTTTCACCTCACTTAAAAACTACTTGCTTACTTACAAAATCAAACATAAACATACAAAAGTGTCACAGCACATTATTACTGGAAAATTGCTGACTTTCTCATTTTTACCATATAATTATGAAATAAATCAATTGGAATATAAATATTGTACTTACATTTCAGTGTATAGTGTACAGAGCCATATAAACAAATAATTGTCTATGAAATTTTAGTTTGTACTGACTTCGCTAGTGCTTTTTATGTAGCCTGTTGTAAAACTAGACAAATATCTAGACGAGTTGATGTACCCCTCAGAAGACTTCTACGTACCCCCAGGGGTACATGTACCCCTGGTTGAGACCCACTGATGTAACTGACCTTCTGTCTATCCCTTTCTAAGGCCTCTGTTCCCACCATTTCTGAGCACCTCACAATCTTTAATGTATTTCTCCACACAGCTCCACCCCTGCGAAGTAGGGCAGTGCTATTATCCCCCGTCCCTGGAGGGGAACTGAGGTACAGAGAGACAAAGGCCCGGATCCTCAAAGATATTTAGGTGCCTCACTCCCCTAGATATTGAAATCAATTGGGAGTTAGGTGCTTAAATTCCTTTGAGGACCTAAGTGACGTGCCCAAGGTCACTCAGGGAGTCTGTGGCAGAGCAAAGAATTGACTCCAGGTCTCCCACATCCCAGCCTAGCAACCTAATCCTTGGCCCATCCTCCTCTCAGTATAGTCACAACTGTGTGTACATCTGTCGTGTCTTATGGCCGTGCTGCTCACCAGTCCATAATTAAAGGTGAGCTGAGTTTTGCACCACAAGCAGGGATGCAGCCACTTTGCTACGTACAAAGAACACACTGTACCCTACTCAGCATCACAGAGCACTCACTCTTGGAGTACAGAATGGATTTTCTGAGAAATTGCAAGTAAAACGGTTCATTGGTTTAGAAGTTAAAATTAATTTTAAAATGGGGCTTTAAAAAACAGTAGCACTTTGGATCAGCCCTTTGTCCTGAATTACAGAATCAGGGCCTCCATTACATTATTGCGCATGGTACTATGGAGCTCTAGACTCTCGCAGTGGAGGACTTTGTATTGCTCCCACGACCTGTTTATGGCAGCACTTTAAGACCTAGGGAGTGGTCCAGCAGCGACGGAATTACACAACTCCAGAGTGCAACAGCCAAAGTTTTCTCCAGGGTGGTTTTTTTTTTGGTGTGTGTGTGTGTGTGTGTGTCTTTAAAATAAACAAAGCCGTTACATGCAAATTCCACCCTCGCCCGGCAGCAGTTTGACTGCAAATTTAAACCAGAGCAGCTTTGCAAACAGGAATAGTCGCTCAGCTTCATTGCGCTTTATGGTGTGACGCTTAAAGCTGTTAAATGTATAATATCCTAGATGATGTGCGTAATATGGGTAAGTAAATGTTGTTATTTAGACCGTGGCTTTTGCTTTCTCTGATCCTTCTGAGCCCTGCTTTGCTCTCTTCATGCTGCACTGAGCTAGATATTAAAGAAAGAGAAAACTAGCCTATATCAAAAACTCCAGTTACATAACAGGAAGAAGCCTGAGGGGGTTTTTCAGGTCACTCATGGGCACCAGCTGTTCTACCTTGTGGCCAGCAGATGGCAGTGGTTCAGATACAAGCGAAAACTGGGCCACTTTGAAGTAAATTGCTGAAAAAACCTCCAGAGACTTGAGTACTTTATTTAATCAGAAATATCAGAGGTATTTAAGTATCAGCTAAAAATAAACTGGTGCCCAAGTGACCTGGTTTGTACGTGGCCTCAGTGCAGGCTAAGTGCCCATAAAGCAGCTGCTGAGGCATGTTCAATACAAAATCTAGCCTTGGCCTATTTGCAGTGAGTCCTCCCTCAAAATGCAGATTTAGCTATTGCCATTTGCTTATCGTAAAAGTACCAGGGTGTTGCCCAGATGCTACTAGAGGGGTAAACCAGGAAGAGCCTTTCAGGCCTATAACCGTTAATCTGTGCATAGGCCAAGGCTAAAGACGTGGTATAAAACCCCTGCAAATCAGCAAAAGAACCAAATAAAACAACCTAGACCAAGGCATCAGATTACATGGCTATCCACTGACCAGAGAGCCACAGCATTGCTAACTCTTCCAAGTGTATCCCGAGCCTCTCTACATAATTCTAGGGTCTTAATTTTTTTTAACATGATTCAGCATTGCTAACACTTGTGAGAGTTGGTTTTTCCTTAAAGCACCAGCACCCAGAGGTACGTGATTACACGATAATCTGGGCTTTCATATATATCTGATCTAATCTATCTATAAAGCTTCTAGCCCTCCTGGCTGTTGGACAAGCTTGGAAAAGTGAACCTCAGAGGCTCAGAAACTAGAAAACAACCCCTCCCCCCACTAAATTTGTTTACTTTTAATCTCACGATTTAAAAGGTAATCTGATGGTTTTCGCAGGGAGAAGAAGGGACTAGCTCAATTTTTGAATGCTTGGCAATACTGAAGATAAAGTGGTTTTTGTTTGTTTGTTTGTTTCTTTAATTCCAAATTTATCTGGAATCCTAGGTGAGATTTTGAAGATGGTCACTTGGCAAAGGCAATGCACCAGCTTCTGACAGGTTAATAAGTAAGATCATTGCACGGGGAGCAGGCTGCGACTCCATGCGGCTCTTATGCCACCAAGTGCCCCAAACACTGGCTTGCACAGATTAATTTCTAGGAGATGAAGAAGGGGCTGGACTAGGTTGAGGTGCTCAGAATGACAAGCGATTCTTAAGGGTAGCCAGATAGTTACAGGGAGGCACATTACTGGGATGTCCTATCACAGGTCAATTCCCAGGGGAACAAACTGAGAGCAAGGCAGAAAGCAGCTAGGCTGTAAAGCCCCAGATAATTCCATGGGGTAGCGTGTGTGTGTGTGAGGGGGTGTATGTGTGTGGTTTAAAGGCCCCAGGTCAGTCCCAAAGGCAGTGGGATAGTGTGAGGGACAGGTTTGCAGGTCACAATTCCCAGGGGAGGGAGGTTACGGGAGGGTGACGAGGGACACTGCAGGGGAAGCTCACAGCTCCATCTCTGAGGCAGGTAAATGGCATAGGAGTGCAGAGGGAAGATGCTGAAGAATACTGCACTCAGGCCCCAGCCTGCTGAGATGGGGTGAGGCAGAGATAGTCAGTCAGGAGCAGGGTCCCACGCCAGGCTGGGAGAAGCCAACGTACCAACCGTCCGAGTCCGACACCCCAGTACAGCCAGGCCTTGCGGGCAGCGGGGAGCCTGCTGGACAGGCTGCCTCATGCTCCCCTGCTCCTGGAGACTAACCACTTCTCGTCGGCTGCGTTCGGCTCCCCAAGTTGCGCTGCAGGCTGCAGAATGGGGCAGCTCGGCCTCTTTCTCCTCAGCCATGTTGCTATGGCAGCTGGAGTCTTCGAACACAACCCCTTTTGTTAACGGCCAGCAGCTCCGCTCTCCCTCCCGCTCCCCCTGCCGCGCTCTGGGGCTCGGCGAGTCCCTGCCTAATGTTCCAGGCTCTTCACGCAGCGAGCGGCTCCAGGGCAGGGCACGGTGGGTTTCTGGGGAGACAGCGCTTGCTATGGTGACCGCCAGGCGGAGAGGGTCTGCCTGCAGCAGGGCACTGGTGAAGTGGCCTTCGGGGCATTCATCAGGCAGGACCCCTGTGTGCCAGAGAGGCCAAGGTGGTAGTGCCCTGCCACTGCGAGCTGGCCCAAAGGACTGGCAGGTGGCACCCACAGGGAGCCCGAGGCAGGCGACGGGCACATCCCCAAGCGCGCCCAGCATGGAGAATAGGGTCAGCTCCGGCAGCCAAGTACAACTCACGTAGGAGCCCAGGAAATGTTGGATTCATGGAGGCCCATTTTTGGCTCCCCTTGAGGCTCATGCTTTTTTCATCCCTTCCCTTAGACACAAGACTCCAGTCGGCCCTGACTGCAGCCATCAGGGGCTAGTCGCTCAGGGAAACCCCTTGAGTAGACAGGTTAAACCGCTGTAACCTGTGATATCTTCTGGTGCAGTGCAGCACAGGTGAATGCTATCAGTGCAAATAGCCCCTAGGGGTTTGCCCAACAGCCCTTTTTTTGCACTCAGAGCAAATCCCCTCGTGGGGATAAGGCCTAGGTGCTGCTTCAACTCCTTTGTGCTTCACTCTCCCCAGCCATTTACCTCCTGGTAGAGCTGAGCAATTGCAAATAAACACGGTGACCAATTGTGTCCTGTTCCTGTTTTCCACCAATGAGCTTTATTCATAAGGATTTGGTGGATAGATTGAAACAAACCCATCCCAGCCTATAGGTCTGTTCACGGGGATTATTCACAGTGAGTGAGTGGTCACCGAAGTCACACGGTATTGTTTCTGCTCTATGATTGGAGGACTGATTTGTAAACAGACAAATAATAAAGACCAAATAACTAGAGCAAGTTGAAAAACACGAAAGAGGGGAAAGAGAGGAGGGAAAAATCTGCATCCCTATTTTTCATATTTTATTAGAATTCAAAATTTCAGTGAAATTCTCCAACTAATTCAAAACCAAATGTCAAACATCACTACAAATAACGAACAGCAAGTTTTCTTGTGAGCTAGTGAATATCCTTGTGGCTTTGAACAGCATCTGTTCCCCAACCAAGATCCTAGGTGTGTGGAGCAGGGATTCAAACCAAACAGCTGGAGCTCCCTTCATAGCTCTTAGCCTGGGTTTTATATGATGGTTCCTTCTATTTACATTCT